CTCCGGACGGCGTTTCCTGTGTGACACGGGAGCACAGAGGAGAGTCCTGCCCGCATCCCATTTGCACATGGTGACTGACAGCCACGGCCCACCTAAGGAAGCTGCCAATTGTAGCCCCATCCGCACGTACGGAACGAGGTACGTTGAATTGTGTTTCGGAGGACAGCGGTTCGGCTGGGATTTCGTTACTGCAAAGGTGGCCGTTCCCCTCCTCGGAGCCGATTTTCTGTGTGCACAGGGACTGTTGGTGGATGTAAAAAAACGGCGTTTGATTGACGCTGCCACATTTTGTTCTTATACGTGCACACTCAGCGGGACTGACCCCATGCGACTATCTAGCATGCTCTCAGCCTCAGATGACTTCCACCGTCTACTTGCCAAGTTCCCAGCGCTTACTCAGCCCACTTTCTCTGCATCCGCTGTTAAGCATGGTGCGGAGCACCATCTCGCCACTATTGGTCCACCCGTCCACGCCCGTGCTCGGCGCCTCGACCCAACCAAGCTTGCCGTTGCAAAGGCTGAATTTGCAAACATGGAATGCCTGGGTATAGTCCGTCGATCCGACAGCCCGTGGGCATCACCCCTCCACATTGTCCCCAAACCGGGCGGCGGCTGGCGCCCATGTGGTGACTACCGGCGGCTTAATGAGGCAACGACGCCCGACCGATACCCGGTGCCGAACATACAGGATTTTTCAGCTCACCTGGCAGGCAAGGTGATTTTTTCCAAGGTGGACCTCGTCCGGGGATATCATCAGGTGCCGGTGCACCCGCTGGACATTCCCAAAACTGCCGTGATCACGCCATTTGGTCTTTTTGAGTTCCTGCGCATGCCGTTCGGCCTTAAAAACGCCGCCCAATCTTTTCAACGCCTCATGGACTCTGTTCTACGAGACCTACCTTTTCTTTTTGTGTACTTGGATGACATCCTCGTAGCGAGCACATCCAAGCTTCAGCACCTGGCGCACCTCTGAACACTTTTTGAGCATCTTAGCCAACACGGGCTAATTGTCAACCCCGCCAAGTGCCAGTTTGGTCTGTCCACCATTGATTTCCTGGGACACAGAGTCACTAAGATGGTGCTGTCCCTCTCCCATCTAAGGTGGAGGCAGTAACACAGTTCCCACACCCGCTCACTGTCAAATCCTTGCAGGAGTTCCACGGCATGGTGAATTTTTACCACCGTTTCATCCCTCGAGCTGCTCAGCTTATGTGGCCTTTGCACGAGGCCTTGAAAGGTAAGCCCAAGCACCTTGTGGACTGGTCAGAGAGCAGGGACAAGGCTTTCGCTGACATTAAGGCAGCCCTAGCGAATGCCACCATGCTGGCGCATCCTTCTTCAACAGCCTCCATCGCCATCACCTCGGACGCCTCGGACTACGCTGTCGGTGCTGTCTACGAGCAGTGGGTAGGCGTGGCCTGGCAGCCGCTGGCTTTCTTTAGCCGTCAGCTGCGCACCAGCGAGTGTTAATACAGTACTTTCGACCGGGAGCTGCTGGGTCTCTACCTCGCCATCAGACATTTTCGTTACCTGCTGGAAGGTAGTTCACGTCTGAGCTGTGGAATGCTGTCGCACAGAGCCTCGGGGCTGACCTCCACCGCACAACTGCGTATCACCCACAAGCTAACGGACTCTGTGAACGTTTTCATAGGTCAATGAAAGCTGCCCTGCGTGCCAGCCTCCAGGACGGCAACTGGGTCGACAAACTCCCGTGGGTGATGCTGGGACATCAGGACCGCGGCAAAGGAAGACTTACAGTCCTCCTCCGCCGAACTTGTTTATGGTCAGCCGCTGCGGGTTTTGTCCCTAACACCACAGTTCCTTGGTCTGCTACTCTCCAGCGGTCAACTCTTATAGATAATGCGAGGCTTTTCGCACCTATCCCTACTTCCCGTCATGGCCTCCCTCAGTCGCACATTCCCACTGGGCTTCAGACGGCTGATTATGTTTTCATTCGTCACGATGCCCACAGGGGACCGCTACGCCCGCCATACGAGGGCCCATTCCGTGTTTTGGAGGCAGGGGACAAACATTTTTTGGTGGACAGGGGTGGTAAACCGGAGCGACTCTCCATTGATCGTCTCAAACCGGCTCACTTGGATGTGGCCAGGCCCGTTTACCTGGCCCAACCCCCTCGACACGGACGGCCTCCGGTTCTGCCCCCACCCCTACCCCCCTCCCTCCCAGGCCTCCCACACCCCATGCCCCACACCCGTGTCATGACGGGACGCCTGCCGCAGTGGGGTCTCATCGACCTTCGGTACAGCACAGCCGTTGTGGGCGGTT